CCAATGAAACCACCATTTACCTTATAAGTTTTGTTTTCTTCAAGTAATATCTCATCAGCACTGCCAGCTAATTCTATTCGTCGTGCTCTTTCAAGCTTCCTTCTCAAATTTTCTATTTCTTCCTAAAAAGTCATAAGAAGACAACCATCAGCTTATCAGCAATGACAGACACAATGCCAGGAAACCAAATCAAATCTATACTGTCACCAGTAATATTTTGTTGTCACCCACATGTTACTGTAAAATACTTTATTTTAGCTGGAATTAATTTTCGCTGAAAACACTTTTTGGGTGTTTTGCGTGTAATTTCACTGATTTTTGACAAGTTGAATGTAAAATAAAGGAAAAAAGGTATATACACTGGATTTTATTTTCACTGAATCATTCCAGAATAAATCCCAAGCGAAAATAAAGTATTTTACAGTATGTAAGTGAAAAAAAATGTATGATTGCAAGTTTGCAACCACAATATGTGCCACAACAAGTAACTACTGGAAGAAGAGACAATATAAATAAACATAAAATGCAAATTATCTTATTTGCATATATTATTACATGCAAATTAGCTAAACGTTAAATACATACATCACGCTGTTCAGGTTTTTGCAAAAGTTAGCAGGTAGAAGGGCCCTCATGAGAATTAATTAATTAAGACCAATGGACACAAGACTTTGATATGACATACCTGACATCTCTTGTATTTATGTGCTTGTTGTTCAACTTCACTTGCTTTATCTACAACTTTAGCTTGTAATGTAACAACTTGGTTCTGATACCTATCCAAAAGTTTCTTTGAATCTGTTCCTGTTTGCGATAACTCCAAAGCCTGAAATAATAAAAACATGTGTGAGTATTACTTACAGCCAATAATGAACAGAATACACAACTACAAATACATTATGTTTCAGTTGGAACATGTTGGTATATGATATGATGTACATGATATATATTTATATATATAGTTAAATCTTATTCAAATACTGCCTGACCGTAGTGACCACCTTAGGGCAGTCCAATGACCCATCTGAAGTGATTAGTCTTACAGCATAAATTGGTTATAGAACACTTTGATTAAGACCAAAAAGATAGGAAGCCTACTGCATGTTTTTTAGTAACCGACACTGGTCTCTACACTGAAAATGTCCAGAAGACAAATTTTTATTTATTATCATCTTGACAAATTCTTGTCATATTATCATTTATGAATTAATTAATAAATTAAACAACCTCCATTTAAATGTGGTTTGGGTGGTCACTGAAAACACAAGGATGACTGTATAATGATATCAGTGTTTTCCACAAGGGGTTTTAGGTAGGCGGGTCCACCTATCAAGTTTTATGATCATCTATTTACTCTCAATACCCACCCACCAATGTACATCCAGCTGAAATGATTTGTAAAAAGCTTGCAATTGTTCTTGCAGTTGCCCAATCCTTTATTTTTCTATTGTTTCAAGAGTCAAGATATATAAACAATGCGTTGTACCGTCTTTTGATCAGGGTGAGTACTGATTTATTGAACTGATGCAACAAATAGAGAAAACAAAAATTATGGGTTTTATTTTGACAAATCAACTGTTTTGGCTTTGTGGAAAAATCACGGAGTATATTTCCTACATTATAACCCAACTATTTTTTGTACTTGCTCTTTGTATTTCATAACTTGGAATATCGACATATAAATCAACGGCTTCGAACCGAGCATTGCATAAAATATTGATGTTGATCAATTTCTCTCGATTTCAAAAGATTGTAATTTGTGAACATTTTTCAATTAAATGAAAAGAAAAAAAAAGAATAGTGAATAACTGAGTGTGCATTGCAGTTCGTGACATAAATGATAGATGTTGTATACAAATGAGGCAAATTATTTTAGCAAATTTATGCTAATTTATTTCACCCACGAGCTATTTTGGATATTCTGGTATGTACTGTGCAATGATACATTTACTATATGTAGTGATACATTTATGTATATAGTAGTATATCTACAGCAAACTTTTTTTGGTATTTTGTATGTAATTTATTTTCATATTTTTCGACTAGTTGAATGCAGAATATAGGAAAAATAGTATATTCAATGAATTTTATTTTTACGGAATCAACCCTTCAGCAAAATGTGATGTATCTACAGCATACAGTAATGTATTCCTAGTATAAAATATGTATTTATGGTATATAGTAATCTGTGGTAAACCGTAATGTGTCTATGATATATAGTGATGTATCTACAGTATATAGTAATGCATCTATGGCATATAGTGATGTATTTAGTACTAAAAACAATGAAGCACCATGTACAAACGTGTATTACCTTTCTTTTGTTATGTTCTAATGCTTGTTGTCTAAGATTCATTTCTTTTTCCATAGTTGTTACACTGTTATGCAATATTCGTTCTTTTTCTTCCAATTTTCTCACTACTTGATTCTGAGCTTCCACTTGTGTCTGAAGTGTCGTTACTTGGTCAGCTAAGACGTCCTTTTCTTCTCGAAGAAGTTTGTGTATCTGGTTTGACTTTATACGCTTTTAAATGGGATGAAAATAATTTGTAAAAATTAGCAAACATATATTTTGTTTCCCTTTGATTCCTTTCGTTTTTAAAGACACGGCACAACATTTACTAAGAGCTTCTTTTTCATTCAGTATATACTTATTTTTTTTTAACAATTTGGACAATCATCACTGACCATCATGTAACGGGATTCAGTGTTCTGTGCCTTGGAATTTGGTGAGTGACTCCTACTCCCAATAAATATTTTGAGGTTTCTATTTACAAAATATAAATGTACCATACTCATCATTCCTACCTCTGACATAAGTTTGAAATAGGCGTCATCTTTCTCTCTAAGTTGCTGTAAAAGTCTAACATTTTGTTCTTGCATGTCTTCAAATGCTTGACCTGTAACGTCCATCTCAGATAATAATGCCTCTTCTTCCTACAAATATACACATCATGGTTAACTTTCTCATGTAACAAGAACTAGTATCGTTCATCTACTCTCTACAAAAACATTTACAGATGAGCTGGGTCAAGATATTATACTAATGAACATGTCAAAGTTTGAAGATTATTGGATGCTAACTTTCCAAGTTACTGCGACCACAAGAATGGTTAACAACAACAACAACGATGACATGGACAAAATCTGTGCATTTCAATACATAGTTGTTCTCAGTGTTCTCTGTACCTGTTTAGTTGCTGTAAGTTTCTTTTGTAATTCTTGAATGTGCTCTTCTAAATTTCGGATTTTTCGTATAGCTTCTTCATCAGCTAATTTTTTACTCTCCTGTCGTTCTCTCTCCTCCATGTGCCTCAGTCGTTGTTTTATTTCTTCCACACTGTCCCTAGCTTTCTTTTCAGCTGCCATGAGTTGCACTTTGTCCCGTTGTTCTTTTGCTACACCCTTGTACATGTCTAGAAGTAACTTCATTTCCCTTTGACTCTCTTGTGATTTTCTGTTGAAAAGAATGTACATGAAACATAGTGTAATAAAAAACAAGATGCATTCAATGCAAAGATGCATTCAATTGGCCGTGTAGGGTTGCACGTTCTTAGTGTGGAATAAGCTCAACTATCAAGCATCCTTTTTTTTTCAAAGCGGAGGGGTTGTCGTGAGCGTGTTCTTGAAACTTGAGTTCCAAGTGGCGTATACAACAGATTGTTTATTTACATCAAAACACGTGTTCCATGCAGTAGTGATATGGGCAAAAATGAAAACAGCCGTTATTTGGCCATCTTTGATCTGATTATGAAACACACTGATATGCATGATGTATGTGTCAAATACGAAAGAAAATAGTACATAAATTGTGGAAATATAGTAGTGATCGGCCATCCTTGACCAGATTTTGAAACAAATTGTCATGGACATGCATCCTAACATGTATAAGGGAAGAGTAGGAAATCAAACGGGCGGTTCACCGCGGCTCTCCGCGGTACACCGGGGAGAGCCGCGGACTGCTTATAATTAGGGGTCTCTACCGCAGTGGCCACCGATACCGGTTGCAACCGCGGTCGTAGGAAAGGTGTGAAATACGTACTTAACAGTTTCTTTTGTGATTCCATGAGTCTTTGTTTCAAATAGCTGTTTTTAAATCGAGCAGGTTACAAGCATCGCTGGCATGGAAATACTAAGCATATAGTAATATTATCGGCCCACGTATTTTATTAATATAAAAATCCATAAGTCCAATGCTGTATACGAATTGTTGTTGCGTGAAACAATGTTGTATTTTATGCATGTATTTATCACCAATTCCAAGAGTAAAAGTCGTAACTTTCGAAGGTACGAGTATTATGACTCGTCCATACATTTCACTTACGTTTGTTACACTTGAATAAAGTCTACCACATGAAAAGAATGTTATTTACAAAGTTCTAAATAGCCGAGCCTTCCTGATTCGAGCCTCTTGTTGATTTGACAACGGTGGGTATCATTAATGTTTATTCTTTGCCTGTATCGCATTCCAGACAAAAAGTTCAAGATCGGTAAACAAGAAATGGACGAACTAAAATGTCTCCTGTGTTTCACGTGCGACATGATTATTAAACAAGCAGGCTATCGGCTGAGATAGCTCCGCTGTTAGCAATGCACATTTCTCTACGTCTTTCTGGATCGTTTTGTGATTTTATTCAAAAGCTCAGGCAAATAAAATAATGTGAACTATTATAGACTAGTTTCCTAGCTTTTGGCTCAGCCAAATTGGTTTAATTTTTCATTAGAACTTTGTGATCCTTTTAATTTCCCAGTTCTTTGTGTTCATTAATGGTCTTGACGATAAGTGTGAATTGCTGTGCGAGCCCACCGCACATGACCGCGGTAAACCGGGGTCATGGAATCTATGCATAAATTTGCATAAAATGCGGTCGACCGGCGAGCACCCACCACCACCGCGGTAATGACCGCGGTGCACCGCCCGTTTGATTTCCTACTCTTCCCTAAAGTACATGTAAGTGCCAAATTTTAATGAAAACTGACAGAGCACATCCAAGATACCGCATAAAAACAAAAAACAAGATGCCTGTCAGTTGACCATCTTTGATCCAATTGCGAAATAAATCGTCATGGACATGTATCCTAACATGTATAATCTATGTACCAAGTTTGAATGACAACTGACAAGCATGTCCAAAATACAACATTTTCAAAAAACAAGATGGCTGCCAGTCGGCCAATTTGAATCAAATCGCTAAACCACTGCATGTGCATATGTCCCACATAAAGTACTAGGCACATGCAAAGAATGAACTGAATCGGTCCACAGGATTCTGAAATATGACTTTTGACAGACTGACACACGGACGAACAGACAGACAGACACACGGACGAACGGATGGACAGACTCAGGAACTCACGAACGGTCGGGG